TTCTTATAATGAATAGAAATAATAAGCCCACTGTTTGCTTATTACTTTAGGCTTTAGACGATTGCATTAATGGGTCAGTTAATGTCAACTAACTCACTGTGAACCAAAAAGGCCATTCTACTCCTAGAAACTTAATGTCTTAGGAGATTTTTATTGTTATATTCAAGACGAGATTCTTTTCTTAAAAGAGAGAGAGAGAGAGAGAGAGAGAGAGAGAGAGAGAGAGAGAGAGAGAGAGAAATAATTCAGTCATTCAAGAAGCCTGTTAAGTAAGGTTAAACTTTGGTCAAAATTGCACTATTGAAATTGAAATTGATGAAAATATGTTGCTCCCCTCACCCTTCCCAAAGTCACAGATATGATCAGATTATTCTGGCAAAAGAACCAAGTGGTTGACTAAGTGAGAGTTATAGTAAGATTTTCCCACACACTATTTAACACAACAATTCTTATTTATATAATAAAAAAGCTTAAGCGACTGTTAGGGTGGAACAACCAGAATGACCATCACTATGATGTGCACTGACCACCAGGTGGCAGACATTCAATGCAGGAGCTGCCCCCTAATGATCAGTGCGCTCCCACTGGGGGAGCACATCTCAGCCAGAAACTGAGCTCATGGTTGGTGAGTGCAGCGGCAGTGGCAAGAGCCTCTTCTGCCTCCATGGCATTAAGGAGCAGTGAGAAGGCAGGCAGTAAGGAGGGAGGTCCTAGACTGAGAGAGGGTGAGGCTGGGCCGAGGGACACCCCCTCCCAGTGCACGACTTTTGTGCACCAGGCCTCCAGTTAGTAATAACGGGGAAAGGAAGACCAAAGGAAAAAGGAGACAGAGCCGCAAAGCTGAACTCCCCAACAAGGGCATCCCAGTGGGAAGAGGAGCATCCAAGAGCCTTGGAGTTTAAATAGTCAGAATTATCAAAGAGAAGCAAGCACTAAACTTGGATTCAAGTCATTGCTGTGAAGGCTGGGTTTATAATTCTCTTCTCCTCATAAACTAGAAAAGTCTTTTGTTGTTTTCTCAGTTTACACAATTTATCCCACCATGAGTCATAGATTTTCATTTGCTCTCTACATACAGGGTGGGCACAAGTAGGTTTACAGTTGTGAGCATATGAAACAGAGCTTATTCTTGTATTAATTATTCATTAATTATTGTATTATTTTTTGTACGAACACCTGTAGACCTATTTTTGCCCACCCCTGAATAAGAAGTGTTTGAAGAATGTCAGACGACTTCTCTCTTTTGGTGTTTCTACTTTCCTCCTTTCTAAATGGCCACTATTGCTGGTGGGGGTGGGAGGAAGCGGTGATACAACAATGGAATGCTTTGTTATCAATGGTGTGATCTTGTAGACATTTACTCTGATAATTTAAAAGAATCTTAATTTATAGGTGAATACATTTTTGATTCTTACTCATTTTATTGCTGCTATACAATTAAACAAACATACCAAGAACTGCTTAATATAAGCCCTGACAAATTTCCTTGTCCTTGACAAAAGTTCTGGTTCCTGGTGATGTGGTTTTGGAGAACAATGCAACAACTGGTAACAAACCTATGCTCCACAAAGTTAAAACAAACAACTTGCCAATGTTTTAATCACAGTTTAAGAAAATGATTTGTTTTTATTTTGGCAACAATATAGCCAAAGTTATAAGAGAAATTAATGTTGTTGGATCAAAGAGATGGGGAGATTCTTTAAATAAACAATTATAAATGCTGTATATTTTCACATAACACTTTATTGGAATATCTTAAGGAATAAAATAAAAAGGATATATTTTATAAATTGCATAAAGCACTTCTTTATCCTGTGACATTCTTATTAATGGAACATGATTCATTAGCAATTATTTTATTTATTTATTTTTTATTTTTCCTTTTATTAAATGCATATCAATATTAACATATTTGCAAACAATGAATTTGATAATCTTTTTGATCTAGTTAATGTCAATAGTTTCATAGAAGGACTTTGGGAATTAATGTTGCCCTGGCCATTACTAGTTATAAAATATAAAGCAATAAGTTGCATTGGCCTTACATTCCTCAATTATGTGACCTCTAAGGCCTCTTCTAGTCAATGACTGTTTTTTAAATTCTTTACAATGCAAGGAAATTTTGCTTCAGTGGAAAACTATGCATTGTTTAGAGTCCCCCTTCCAGGTTATTGAGTTCTGATTTTATGGGGCTCTGGACTTTTGAGTTATTTTACAGCTCTGCAGATTGTAGATAATTGGTAGCAATGCAAAATAATTCTTGTCTATAGCCATGGAAATACATTCTGTCTAGTGGTAGTTTAATTGACTTCCCTCTACCCTGTTCAAAGAAGCCAGTTTTTCCTTTATTTATACATTCATTTAAGGGGACACACAGGTGGCCAATAGACATAAAAAAAATGCTTAATGTCACTAATCATCAGACAGATGCAACTTAAAACCACAATGAGATATCACCTCACACCTGCCAGAATGGTTACTGTCAATAAATCAACAAACAGCAAGTGCTGGCAAGGTTGTGGAGAAAAGAACACTCTTGCACTGTTGGTGGAAATGCACAGTAGTGCAGCCACTGTGGGAAACAGTAGGGAGGTTCCTAAAAAAAATCAAACATGGAACTGCCTCTGATCCAGGAATCCCACTCTAGAGATCTATCCTCAGAATCCTGAAACACCAATCCTAAAGATCATACACACCTCTATGTTCACAGCAGCGTTATTTATAATGGCCAAGACCTACAAACAACCCAAGTGCCCATCAGCAGATGAATGAATAAAAAAAGCTGTGATACAGATGCAACTGTATACTATGCAGCTGTAAAAAAGAAGAAGGCACTCTTACCCTTTGTGACAGCATGTCACAGGTGAGGGACTGAAGATAAGAAGCTGAAGGGAGCAGCCAAAGCACATATATTCATAACCCATAGATGCAGACAACAGTGTGGTGATGGCCAGAGGGAAGGGGTGGTGGGTGCCGGGTGGAAGTGGGTAAGGGGGAAAATGGGAACATCTGCAATAGTATCAACAATAACAATACTTTTCAAAATTTAAAATTTGTATTTTAATTTTATTAGGCTAACATTGGTTAACAAAATTATATAGATTTCAGGTGTACAACACTGTAATATATCATCTGTATATTGTATTATGTGTTCACCATCCCCAGTCAAGAATCCTTCCATCACCATTTATCCCTCCCTCCAACCCCTTTCCCTCTGGTAATCACCACACTGTTGTCTGTGTATAACTTTTGCTTTGTTTCGTTTATCCCTCTGACAGGGTCAGAAACAGAATGTTGGGGAACCAGCTAGAATTGTAAGAAATATTAACCATGCTCTGTTAAACCGAGATTGTTTTATTCTGATGAAAGAAGGCATATTCTAACCTGGTTGGCAGCGACACACTTGGGACATGGGAGCTCACCTAAAACTGTAGCCCGTCCTCCCCATTTGGAGCTGCCTATTATCCTGGAAAGATGAACAACTTTGCTGCAGAAACCAGAATCGGCAGCTCTTTGACCCCCCCCCCCCGCCCCGCCCCAGCCCTTGCATATCACTAGCCCTTTGAAGACCCTTGCCCTCTTGCATCCCTTTGAAGATCCCCAACTCTCTACTAATCTGTTAACCACCCATTTGGCATGCCCTTTGGTTACTTCCCTATGTAATCTTTTGTCCTTTTACCCAATATAAGCAGCTGGCAGCAAGGACCCACTGATTGTCCCGTTACTCCTTCACCCTTTTCACCCAGGCCCCTAAATCCCTCCCCTCTGACAGCAATTAGTGTGTTTTCTGGATCTATGAGTCTGTTTCTATTTTGTTTGTTAGTTTATTTTTGTTCATTAGAATCCACCTATAAATGAGTCTGTTTCTATTTTGTTTGTTAGTTTATTTTTGTTCATTAGAATCCACCTATATTGTACTTGTCTTTCTCTGACTGGCTTATTTCACTTAGCTTAATACTCTCCTGGTCCATCCATGCTGTCACAAAAGGTAAGATTTTCTTTATTATGGGCGCATAGTATTCCATTGTGTAAATGTACCACAGTTTTTTGCACCTTTATTCCTGATCTTGATGTTTCTGTTCTTTTTAAAAAAATATATTTTATTGATTTTTTTACAGAGAGGAAGGGAGAGGGACAGAGAGCTAGAAACATCGATGAGAGAGAAACATTGACCAACTGCCTCCTGCACACCCCCCACCGGAGATGTGCCCACAACCAAGGTATATGCCCTTGACCGGAATCGAACCTGAGACCTTTCAGTCCACAGGCCGACAGTCTATCCACTGAACCAAACCAGTTAAGGCAGTTTCTGTTTTTTAGGTAATCCTTTGAACTGCTTGTGACATCTTATTGGTATCATCAGTAATACTTACTTAAAAGGTTAACAAAACCAGTTAAAATATTTAGCACATGTTTATTTTCTTTCTGTTCAAAGGTCATGATTACTTTGATTTGTTTGGAAAACTAGCCTTTAGTAAAAATATAAAGGGAATGTAGGTTTCTCAATGGAAAGTTTTGAAATTAGGTGTTTATAATCTCTGATCTCACAGATGGTTACCAATCTTCTCTTTTTCATTTTTTGTGCCATAATTTCACCTTCTAACTTTTGTTCAGTTACCATTCCTTTATTTTTTACATAGATTTGATGAATGACAAGCCAATGTAGCACTTGGTCATTTAAATCTGTGCTCCATAAAGCTAAACCAAACAAATGAGCCTATCAATATCTTAATCATAGTTAAAAATGATATGCTTTTATTTTGGCAACAATCTAGCACTCAAGAATTATAACTAATGATTTATAAGAGAAGTTAACTTTGCTGAGCCAAAGAGGGGGAAACTCTTTAGACAATTATAAGTACAGTATATTTTCACATAACTCTCTTTTGGGAGTTAATATTTTATTGAACTTTTTTCATCAGAATCATCACACTACATATACTGTATTCAAAGGGGAAAAGCTTTACATCTAATAAATAAAAACAGATTTTTATACTTACTGTGCCCCACCACAGAGCATCTGCATATGTAGAGAACTCTTTGTTGGCATCCTTTTCCACCAGGTAGACAAGGAAAGACGAAAAAATAAGAACCAAAAATCCTATGTACCAAGCTGTGATTAATTCCTAGATAAAAAAGGAATGAAAGATTTTTAGAAATGAAAACAATCTTTGAAAAAGGAAAACAAATCTATCTATGCATGATTCCATTCGTTTGACTACTTCCTGGATACTTATGATGACTTTTAAATAATCCATTATATACTGTGTCTCTAAATTACTTTGGCCAAATTCTGAAATGACTAAGTGTGCTAATGACAGGCTTATCAAATATTTCAGCAACCAATAAAAGGTTTTAAAAAATCTTGTTCTATGAGCCAGAAAGCAAGCCTTACCTTGCTGTGGGCATAAACCACAGAACCTAGTAATTTCCAAGTGCCTCCCCTTCGGTCCATGCGCACCATTCGGAGGATCTGTAGGAAACGGAGACTTCTGAGTGCGGACGTGGCAAAAATGTTACCCTGAGTTTTTGCAGAAACAACTGCTATTGAAGCGATAAGAACAATGGTATCTGAAAGAAACAGGTTGAAACAGCCATAAGAAGCACGGCAAGGCATTTTCAGTTCTCAAAGCAATATTTCAGAAAGGTTCGCTCGGACCTGTTTGAGGTACCAATAACCAGATCATGAACCCCACCACCGCGTAGTGCTACCTGGGCTCTGGGATGCCTGAACAGCGAGAAGGCAGAGAGTAGGACCCATCCATCCCCATAGTTCAGAGTCAAGACCATCCCATGCTCTACCTATGCAGTTTTGAACCACTTACTACTCAACCCTCAACAAACTGGCAATGGCTTTCAGAGAGCTTGGTGTTCCAGGGAGCCTTGAAGCTGTGGGCAGCCTTCCCCAGCTTCCTGGTTTCCTCAGCATCCCTGCGTGGCCGGAAGGAGCCTGCTCCTCAGTCTTAACACCTCAGCTCCCTGGTTGATGCCACAGAGGCATCCTACTCTGTCCAGCCATGAAAGAGCCACCTGGGACAATCATGTCTCTTGCTTACTTTAAAAAAAATATTTTTATTTATTTCAGAGAGGAAGGGAGAGGGAGAGAGAGATAGAAACATCACTGATGAGAGAGAATCATTGATCGGCTGCCTCCTGCTTGCCCCACACTGGGGATCCAGTCTGCATCCGGGGCATGTGCCCTGATGGAGAATCGAACTGTGATCTCCTGGTTCATTGGTTGATGCTCAACCACTGAGCCACGCTGGCTGGGCTCTCTTGCTTTCTTGACAAAGAAGCTTGTAGCTCCTTTAAGCAAAAAACAAAACAAACAAACAAAAACAAAAACAAAAACAAAAAAACTCCTTATGTGTGGAGTCTGCAGCATTACATTTTATTTACCAAAGGCCTCAACTAAGCGGAATACTCTAAGCTCTCTGCATAAAGCACTCTTGATATCTGGTCAGCCAATTATGTGCAAGTTTGGGACACAAATTAAATAACATTACATTTGTTACAATAGAGTATGCAATTATACACACTGTGCGTTGCATGGGAATGAATATTTAATTTTTGACATATTGGCATGTGGTCTAAAAAAATCTTCCCTTTTGTAAGCTAAAAAGAGAGGAAAAAAAAAATCTAACTAATGAAAGCATGGAAAAGATAAAAGAGGACTTAATTGCTCCAAGGGTAAATATCTAGATGATGGAAAGTAGGCTTTGAAGTGGAAGACGTGAAGTGTGGACGAATGGCCTCCTATGACAATTTAAAAATAAGTTAGCTTGATCTTAACATCCTCAAATAAACTCTCCTTCCTGCTTCAAGTGGACTGTGCATGACTGGGCATCCACACATTATTTTAATGTTGGAATTTTATAACAATGATTGTCTTTTGAAATCAAGAAGAAAACTTAAAAGAGTTAAATGTGAAAACACCTCAGTTTTCATCATTTTAAGGGATTTATTCCTGACACAAGCAGTTTACAAAGATATAGTCTTTATATGGCCTGGCTGGATATATATATTTGCCTTTATTTTTCATTGTAATAGTGCTTCATTCCAAGAGTACAAAGGACTCTTTTCTTCAAATTGAAGTGTTTTCAAATGTTATATTATCAAATATGCATAACAACCATGATTTATTTATTCTATAAATCCCATTGTACAGATGAACAGGTGAGGCATACATTGTATGAGTTTTTAAAAAATCAGCTATAGCGCTATTAGACTAAAGCACAGAACATATACTATGAAGTTAATTCATTAGAGAAAACCTAGATAAAGTGAAAGGAACACTGCTTGGCTTGAGACAATTATGCACACAGTGAATTACAGTCTAAATGTTTGAAGTAACAAAATATGCAAAGGTAACAAAAAATTTAATTTAATACCCTCATTGTAATTCAGATCAGAAGAGAATGTCAGAGATTAGTAAAATCTACACTAATAATAGAGGAATATGCAAATTGTCTGGGACATCATCACAGTAACAGTAACAACTGAATAGCAGGCTGTGTGGGGCGACCAGCTAGCATAAGGGTTAGTGAGGGATGACTAAATGATTGAACAGCAGGCTGCGTGGCATGACCAGGCCAGAAGCGGGGGCAGTTGGGGGCAATCAGGCTGACAGGGGGAGCAGGGCATGACAAGGCTGGCAGGGACCAGTTGGGGGCAATCAAGCTGGCTAGGGGGTTGTTGGGGGTGACCAAGCTGGAAGGTGGGCAGTTGGGAGTGACCAGGCTGGTGGGGGGCATTTGGGTGTGACCAGGCTGGCAGGGGGAGGCAGTTGGGGGTGCTCAGGCCATTGCAGGGCGGGGGGTAGTTAGGGATGACCAGGCCAGCAGAGCGCGGCAACTGGAGATGACCAGGCTGGTGCAGGAGGGGACACTTGGAAGCGATCAGGCTGGCAGGGGGTAAAGTAAGGGGTGACCAGGCCAGCGTGTGTGGTGGGATTAGGGAAAACCAGGCTAGCTGAGGGGGGCAGTTGGAGGCAACCAGGTTGGCAGAGGGGGGCAGTTAGGGATGACCAGACCAGCAGAGGGGGGCAGTTGGGAGAGACCAGGCCAGCAGTGGGGGGCAATAAGGGGTGACCAGGCAGCGGGGGAGGCAGTTAGGGTGATCAGGTAGGCAGATAAGTGAGCAGTTGGGAGCCAGTGGTCCTGAATTGTGAGAGGGATGTCTGCCAGTTTAGGCCCAATCTCTGCAGTTAGATATCCCTGAAGTGTTCTGGGTTGGAGAGGGTGCAGGCTGGGCTGAGGGGACCCTCCCGCTGTGCATGAATTTCATGCACCAGGCCTCTAGTGAAATCATCAATGAGCAACCAAATGGCAAACAATGAATGCAGTCACAAAAATGTTTCTGGTTGGGTTGCAATCATCTGCTGAAATTTTGTTCTCAGTACCACCTAGAATATTTCCTAGGCTAATATTTTAGAAGTTGAAAGTAATCTTTACTTTTATTTATGTAATTATTATTTTTATAGTACACTATTTCATAGAATGGAGATTCCACAAGGTTGTATACTTATATTCCAAGTGCCTGGAACAGTGCCTGAAATATAGTAGGTATTAAATAAGTATTTATAAATTGAACTTAGATTAATAAACATCTAAAGGTAGCTTGAGCCTATTCTCGTATCACATTAGTGGCTTAATAACTGGAAGTATCAATCTAAAATACTCTTAGATTAGTTGATGATCACTTCAATATCTAGCACTAAATTTAAATGCATTAAAGTTTATTAAAGGCAAATCTCACTAAGATTTACTTTTTTTTTGGTAAAATTGGGCAGGGGGCAGACTTTAAAGATGGCAACATAGGAGGCTCTTGAACTCTCCTACCACAGGCACACTGAGTGGACAGCCACACAGGGAATAATTCTCTTTGAAGGAAATCCTAAAACTAGCTGAGGGACTCCTACACATCAGTTGAATGAGAAAATACCCCCACTGAAATCAGTAGGAAAGGTTGGGACACATTCTTGTCATAAACCCCATCCCCAGCCTAATGCCACACAATTGGGAGGGAACCACCCCCTCCCAGCTTCTCTCTGAGCATCTAAAGGTTTGGGTCCCACATCTAATACCCCAACTTTTAAAACTCCCACTTGAGAGACAGGCTCCCAAAACACCTATCTCTGAAAACCAATGGCACCCGCGTCATGAGATCCATAAGATTATAGCAAACAAAGAAGCAGTTATTAATGGGTATGTATGAGCACTAGCTGTGGCTGTCCCACAGGGCTCAGTACAGAGGAAGTAGGCAGAAATGCTCACCTCCCAATCTTTCCCTGAAAGGATTCTATTTGCATACTCAATTCTGCCTGAGGTCAGGAATAAGATAAGAATGCTCACTCTCACTACTTTTATTCAACACTAGAGGCCTGATGCATAAAATTCCTCCAAGTGGCTTGGCTCCCACTGGCAGGTCAGCCGTGGTGACCGCCTCGGCCCCTGCAGGGACCTGCCCAGAAGGACATCTAATCTAATTAGCATATTTTATGTTTTTATTATTATAGATAATATAAAAATCTTAGCTAGAACAATTAGGAAAGAAAAATAAATAAAAGGCATTCAAAATAGAAAGGAAAATATAAAATTGTTACCTTTTGCAGATGACATGATATTATACTAGTATATGGAAAACCCAAAAGACCACCAAAAGTGTTTGGAACTAATAAATGAATTAATTAAAGTTGCAGGACACAAATAGCAATATATAGAAATCAGTTGCATTTCTATACACTAACAATAATGTCAGAAAGAAAAATTAAGAAAAAAACCCACGGATTTACAATAGCATAAAAAAAAATCCTTAGGAATAAATTAGACCAATTAGGTAAAGGATCTGTTTGATGAAAATTATGACATTTGATGAAAGAAATTGAAAAACACACAAATAAATGAAAAGATATTTCATGCTCATGAATTGAAAAAATTAATATTGTTAATATGCCCATGTACTCTATCAATATTCAAATGGTATTTTTCACAGAAATAGAACAAACAATCCTAAATTTATATGGAACCACAAAAGATCTCAAATAGACAAAACAATATTGAGAAAACAAAACAAAACAAAACAAAATAAAATTAGAAGCATCACACTTTCTAGTTTCAAATTGTGTTACAAAGCTATAGTAATCAAAACAGTATTGACATAAAAGCTGACACATAGATTAATTGAATAGAATAGAATATAGATGCCAAAATGAAATCATATATATATGGTTAATTAATTAATTATAAGCAAGTCAAGATATATATAATGGGGAAAGAGTAGTCTCTTCAATAAACGGCATTGGGAAAACTGGACAGCCATATACAAAAGAATGAAAATGGGCCACACAAAAATCAACTCAAAATAGATTAAAAATTGTAATACCCAAAACCATAAAACTCTTAGAAGAAGACATGGGTGGTGAGCTCCTTTAATCTGGGTCATGGCAATAATTTTTTTGGATTTGACAGCACAAACAAAGGTGACAAAAGCAGAATTAGTAAGTGGGACTACATCTAACTGAAAATTTTCTTTCCAGCAAAGAATTCCAATAATGAAATAAAAAGGAAACC